AGTGTCTTTTTACACCCTGTATACTTTGATTTTTTTATTTGGCTATAGGCTGCTTTTTATCAAAATATGGAACGGGTTAGTTTGAACGAACTCAATTAATTCATAAACTAAAGTACTACCCGTGCGCGATAAGTTGAGACTTGAGCGCGGTGACGTCACATTGGCGTGTTTGCACCGCCCGCAAAAAAGCGAACTTAGCAAGCAGCCGCCCGCGGCTTCGTCTTTGTTTTTTTTAACCTAATTTATTATGTTAGTATGTTACTCAGGGAGGACGCTGCCATTTATCTAATCTTTTTTACACTATTCGAATATAAAATAGGACACTAGGTATTTAATTATGTATCACCGAAAGTGTTGACTATGGTTTTATAATGAATAAAAATACAATGTTTAAGTTTATACATTTATTTTATCTATTATTTACATTTGTTGTTCTTCGTCCTCAGTCTCACTATAATCACTTGACGAAGAGGTATCCGATAAATTTACAATTAATTGCGATTCATTTGTCTCTTGTAGGAGGTCATCATCCCAATACTTTTGTCGAAGCCTGTCCACATGGTTGACTTCTTTTTTCCAGTCACTCTCACTTATGCTGGTAATTGCATCTCTCGTTAATTTTTCTATTTCCCTTTCAGACTGGTTGATATTTTTATCGGCTACTCTTTGCTTGACCAAATTCCAAATATATTCGATTGGATTGAGTTGTCAATAGGTAAACAAAACTGTTTGTTCCGTTTTTCGTTTTCAAAAAACTCTAACACTTTTAGCACGAGGTTTCTTTCTCCGCTATGCAAAGTTTTACCCTTCATAATGATAACAAAAACACTTAACAAGAACTATAACAACAAAAAAATAACACAAACGAAAAGTAAAAAAATTTCAGAGCGGTACGTGACGTAGGCCAGTTAAAAAAGGTATACCTAAGGTATAGGTAAACCTTTTGTATCTGTTCTGTGAGACTAAACAATAGTGATGCGAACGGTACAATACGGGCGCCAACGGGGAAGTGCAGGGGAAGCGGGCGGGGAGTCGCATTCCTAGCAGGTCTCAACTTATCGCGCACGAGTAGTAGGTGCCTACCTTCGAGAGAAAATTCACTACTTACACAATTTTAACAATTTTTTTTAACCGCAAATTTAAATTCCTTTATTAAATTTATACACCATCTTTGTTTATTGAATCTTAATTCTTACACATTTTTCATAATCCCAGTTTTATTTGCTGTTTATTCAAATGCCATTTTTATGTTATAGCATTATTTTACAAATCTGCATGTCCCTATAGATGTTGTTATTTATATGAGGATCGTTCCTTCATGCGCTCTGCCTACTCAGACGGTTTTCTAGCCTATTTGTCGGGTCGCCAATGCCATCCCTACCCTGAAGTCACGGCGGTGCTCAGCCATTTTTCACAACCCCAGTTTTATTTGCTGTTTAATGAAATGCCATTTTAAGAGATCAGTCAAATGTGACACGTCTAAAAGTGAACAAGTTATGGACAATTTAACAAAGGCTCACAGTATTTTTGTTGTTTATGAAATACCCAAGAAAAATCAAAGTCATCTGATGAAGCCATTATTGTTATCGCTTTATAGTTTAAAAAAAATCTCTATAAAGTTTAAAAAAATAAAGAGTCTGACACTAAACTTTTATTTTTGAAATCCACCCCGTTCCTTCTCTTACATCCGCGAAACCGGGTATTTTGCAATATTACAAAAAAAAAATACAATTACAGCACCATCTAACAAACGAATGCATTATTATAAATCGATACAAATTGCTCCAATTATTTTTCAAATGTCTGTGATAATAATCTTAAAAATATAATTCATTATTGTTTACGAAATCCAAAAGTAATCTTATCTTGCAATATCGTAGCACAACAATTTTAATATTGGCCCTTTGATTAGATGATTTTGAATCTATTGAACTTATTATTAAATTCGCTTATCGGTCGTTTTCGACCGTTCTGACGTAGATTTCGACCCGAATTGAGATCCAGGATGTCTAGGATCTTATCGCAATTGGACAATAGATTTGTTTATTTTGGAACGGTGTAGAAAATAATTTGAAGTTCTAATTTATTTAAGCACTTTTTTTACTTAGTAAGTAGTTCTGTCGCTCAAACTCTCAGTGGGCACATGAGGCTGAGCAAAGGCTGGTGATGATGATATGTGTGATTCTGTTCGATTTTAAAAACCTCGCAATATAAGAGTTCCAATATCGTCCGCTCCGTGGTGGACAGAAGGTTTTAAAGTACTCTGATGCATGGGAGTTTTTGTTTGAGTGCGGAAAATCATCAATAGACTTCTTTCGCCCAGGGTGAGCCAAGAGGGAATATCAGACGTCTACTGACGGAAAATCATCCCGGTCATTATTCGGTACCTATTCGAACTCGAGCTACAACCCCTTAAAAATGTGCGATTTCGAAACCTGCCTACGAAATACCAACGAAAAGCTTAAATAAATGAATATTAATATTGTATATGTGATAGAGGTTAGATATCTCAAAAGTAGCGAATCCTAATGCAACCTGTAGGTACGGACAAAAGGCACTTGCACTCATGAATAAAATCAGTTTTAAATGGCATGTGTAAAAATTAACTGGTTACGGACAATTTAACAACGGCTCCAAGTATTTTTGTTTATGAAATAGCCAAGAAAAATCAAAGTCATCTGATGGACCCATTCTGTTCTGTTATGGTAAAATATTATTGGTTATTGGTGTTCCGCATCGCAGGTTTAAGTAATTTTTGATATCAAATGTTATATTTGGATTGCCGCGTGAGGAGGATGGTTCCTAGATCACGGCTTTCAAGTTCCTCTCTTCAGCAGATTTCGGCAGGACGCGAAGTCTTGTCGCCGCGGATCACTTCCCTGAGGACAAGCCCCGGCTCAGCCCAAGGCGTGGTGCCTTGGGCTGTGCCGTGTCCTCCGAAACTTTTTAATATATCTATGTTGTTACACATTCCATTTAAAAACGAGTAAATGTAATAAAACAAAAGAAAACTGCCTTGTTGGTCGAATCGTTTCGCATTCGATTTTCGGGTGTTATTTGAAATTGTCAGGTAATTCGCAAACTTCTCAGCTATAACAAGGAGTCTGGTATTATGCCAGGTTTAAATGACAACTGGATCACTGCATACTGGTTGGTACGAGATTATGTAGGTACTCGTTGTTTCGCTAGAGGTATTTAGTACGTCAAACGATAGTATCAAGAGTTAGGTAATTAGTAGATCAAGTTAATAACAACAAAATTAAATTCAATTCTAAAGTAGATTATGTTTATCAAATCGATTGGTAATAGTTCTAAATTATATCAAAACATCCGGCTTAGTTCTAAAAACTAAAATTGTTTAAACGATGCTTTTGATTTCTAATATTAAAATTTATAAGAAATCCGCTATAGAAAAAAAATCGACTCGGACTGCGAGCTACTGTTGCTTGCTCCAGAACCTGAGAGTACATTGGCGACATCCCATGCCAACGAGTGCCGAAGTGCAGCCAGGGTTCAGGGTTCAGAGCATAGGAACGCAACAATGTAGCTGGCTGGCTTGTAGCTGGAGAAGGAACGGGGTGGTTTTAAGTCAGCCATTTGAAGACGAGGATGCCTCTCAAAAAACTCCCAAATTCCCCACTTTGCATCCAAATTCAGTATTTTACCATGCCTAACCTAGGCAGATTGGCGATTAGAAACATATTATTAGAAATTGCGTCTCGTGTTTTATCTCATTGTTTTTCAAAGTGAATAAACTTAGAAAAATATAACTTGGTTTTGCCCGCGACTCCGTTCGCGTGGAAAAGTGACTTCCTGTAGATTTTTGGTATTAAAACTATCCTATGTCCTTTCTCGAGTTCCAAAATATGTCTGTACCAAATTTCACAGAATTCGGTTCAGTAGTTTAGGCGTGAAGAAAAGACAAAAAAAAACAGAAAGAGTTACTTTCGCATTTAAAATATTAGTATAGAAGTGTAGATATTATATCAGATGAAGTCGCATTGATCCTTACCAGTATTCGATAGATAGATAGCCGGCTTCATCTATAGGTATATTTTTACATATTATAATTTTTACGTGTAAAATTGCTCTTTTACAAATTTTTTAAAAATAAATTCATTGTTTCATTGTTTCGATCATCGTGATTGAGACTCTTCTCATGTAGTAGTAGTTTCGTCGAACGAAAAATAAAATTAATAAAAACATATTAATATTCTTCAATAACTTTATTTATTATCTAATAGACATGTGTAGTAATATCTAAACATTCATTAAACGATCATATTGTATGTAAGTATATACAAAGTTAAAATAAAATAACTAACATAATCACAGCCTTAGTTATTAACCAATATAAAACAAATATATTGATTTCTACTTAAAATTAAATACAACTATAACAATTTTAAACATTATAAGGTCTTGTCTTCAAATTTAAGGTAGTGACAAGTAGCCACGACGCGGGCTGCTCATGAATAAGAGCCCCTTTCTGCCTCGAAACTAGTAGGGCTTTCCTCGATTAATTTCGCGGGAATGTCGTTTTTGCTTATAAATTTCTTTTCATTAATAATTTAGAGTTACATACATACACACATTCTCGTATTGGTTGTTCTTAATTTCATAACGAGGTAACGAGTACTTTTATAGTTTACATATAACTTATTTTAGTACCTAATAACATATATTGGTCAAAAACCAGATGACTATCACCCGTATCTAATTATATAATCATAATTATTTGTACATATAATCGTGTATTTTCTGCTACCTAAAAACGAGAAGTTAAACAGGAATTTTTACACAACACACACACACACACAAACCAACGATACAGCCGTTAGTTCACGCTCATTCAAATTTTCTATTATTTACACGCCTACAATGTATGTCACTAAAAAGGACTATCTAACCTTTGAACAATTCCTATGAAACACGACATAATCCATTAACAATTATTATCTACAATATTTGCTAATAAAAGTCTACATTTCATATGACCCTTAGGAAGGTATAGGTGTTGTGCTATTTTCTCCCCTTATCGTATCTTTCACCCAATCAGGGATCTCTGCAATATCAAGCAGATCTAAATGAGAGCTCGGGTAGGGTGAGAAGTGATCCCAAGTCTTGATCTCATTGAAGAGTGCGTCACCAGGGCATTCGGTGGCTCTCACTTGGCGGTGACCAAGGAGTTTATAGTCTGGTTTGATGTAGCCAAGCTCAACTCCAGCTGCTATTAATGCCATGGCTGTCTTCCTCTGCTGTGCTGGTGGTATTTCGTCTGAAAAAGATAGAGGTTTGTTTATATAAGATGATTGTGATGTTCCTTCGCGAGCGTACCTAACTAAAGCGAGACGTATTAAATTTATACTGCGTCAACGCGACGCGTACGCTGCTTTTGAATAAGAGTCCCGCTGTGACTTGAAACTAGGCGAGGTTGAGTGAGTGAGTTGTCATTTTTCAATAAATGTACTTCCATTATCTACTAACTAGATAGATTAATACTTTAAATTAGTTAGAAATCGTAGTACATTGTAGTATTATCCGTCGTACATTGTAGTATTATCTGAGGACACATGTTGACTAGATGAGTTAGTTGCCGGTGAATCCATACATGAAGTAATCTAGTAAGTAAGTATTTCATATCTCTCTCTCTAAATAACAATAAAGAGATCTAAATAAGAATCTGATAGCAGCTCGATCGAATAAAATCAATCATTACACTACTAAACTTCTATCGAAATTCCGAATAAGTTCGGTTATTGACAATGGCCTTATTGCCAACACAATCAATATCAACACAGATAAAACACTTACATCTCCAATCTCCAATGAGACAGATACCAATGCTGACTGAGTTGAAATGCAGCGCGTGCGCACCCAACGTCTCCCAGCCCCGTCCCTCGTACGCCGCACCGTCGCTTCCAACGGCAAAACTGTAGGGAAAACAGAAGTTATGTAGTTGTTAATCATTACATATTATGAAGAAAATACAGAACTCTTTGGGATGATGACGAAGTTACAACGCGTCTCACACCTTTAGAGCCTGATCTGGGCCTGTTTCGCATTGACAAATAAGACCTAAATTTCCATATAAAGCACTATGTATCAAATATGATGATCAAAACAAAGATTTTTTCCTAATTCTGTTGACACAGTCAGTCTACATCTCTCATTATTATAACTCTCCCATAATGGGCCTGCGGGAAAAAAAATCTGAAGAAATAGGCTCTGCCTTTACACCTTATTGTTGTATTATTCTTCTTGTAACTAACTGTGTATATATGTATAAACTATAAAATAAATAAATATGTTCCTAATTTTAAAATACATAACTTAATGTATATATACTATGTAGCACATAAGTGTTTCTAAGTACTTAAAGAAGAACTGAATGATACTATTAAGGATTCAATTTAAAAATACGTTTTATTTTGATACCTACTATTATTAATCATAGGATAATTTATTACTGTGACGTATGTTATAAACATTTATCAATAATACTATTGACATTAGTTTTATAAACAAGATAAATTACTATTGTAAATATTATAGTGAAGCATTTCGATAACGAAATATTACGATTAATAAATAAGTAGTATGGAATATTTTTTTCTGTAAGTAATATTATTATAATTATTAAAACAAATTGGTAAAAAATATCTTCCTATTATTCGCCATCATATCGGCTGCGCAGTTGACGTGGTGGCTCGGCTGAAGCTTGAAGTGTGGTAGAGCCATGTTTCGGAACAAATGGGTTGGCTCGACCGGAGTGATACCACGGCGTGAAACTACCACAGCGTTGCATTCCGCCGTATTAGTGAGGTTACCGGAGGCCCAATCCTTCCCCTTACCTAATTTCTAAATCTCCGATAAGTCCTAATCTCCAAAAGGCCGGCAGCACCGATGGTTAAGCAATAGGCGTAGCCGAAGAGTTACTATTGCGTTGTTGGCCTTTTCAGGATTAGAGTTTTGGAGTTTTAGGTATCTATTGAAGAGAGATGGGGGGATTTAGCCATCAGTTACTTCAATCACACGGCGAAACAACTTAAGTATAGTAAGTAGTAATAATAATAAAAAGACTCACTGGTATCCAATATCCCACCAGCCGTGGTCATCAATATGGAAGTCTTGCATGCCCCTCATAGCTGCACAGCACTTCTCCCGGTCGTAACAAGCTGGTGGTATGTAGGAATGGTGGATCACCACGTAGGGTACCGGAGTTTGCAATGGAGTTGTCTTGACTGGATCCCGAGCACGCCATTGCGCTCGACTCACGAATGGAAAGTTGTAGGAATGGACCTCATTCTCTGTTGATTCCACTGTAAAATACAATTATAATGTTTGGTATAAAAATCTGTCTTCCTGAATAACATACCTAGTTAAAAATGTCTAATTAATAAGCAGTTTTTATGACGCTTTTTTCGTTTTTTTGCCATTAACAAGTGTCCGACTTATACTGACTAAAAACCCCCATTCTTTAACCTGCTCCAGGCTGAGGCCTTGGTATCTTGTATTTTTATGATCTACACTTCTTAGTGCTATTAAAATTGCTATAGGCACGTGCCTTGGTTAAATGACTAATCAACTGTGAAAACGATTTATAGAAAGTGTTGAAAAATAAAAAATAAACTTCAAAAACTTTACAACAAAATTAAATATGGAAATAAAGAAATCCCTTCAAATGATCATGAAAAACATTTTAATTGTTTTTAATGTTGCATTAATAAATATGATCTTACCACGATTAACTACGACGGTAGGCATAGCCCCGACACACAAGGAGATACAGGATAACACCAAATAATATAGCATAGCTTATTCTTCAACTTCTGTCACCCATCGGTCGATGGAACGTACTGAAAAAATAAATACATTCAGCCCTAGTAGATAAATAATGTTATCATTTCTCATTTACTAAGTGCGTGAATAGGTCATCTGTATTATCTGTATCAACTTATCTATAATATGTTTGTATAGAGGACGGATTTGATTGTTTGTTCGTTGTCATATAAGTGTAGCAGAGCCAGGCTTTGACATTGTTAAAATAGTTTGATGAAAATAATAATCACTTATTCTTGAATAATTTGCATTTTATTACGAGACACACTTAATAAGACAAGACAGATTGAGCGTTACTTTCGCGCCTAAATAGATGGCGCTGTATGTACTACATAAGAATGTAAGATTATAAAATTTACTTATTTTCAACAGACATGAATGGTCCCACTCAACCGGAGTAATACCACGGCCTTACAGAATACCATCAACGAACATAGCGTTGTGTTTCGCGGCGTGAGTCAGGTTATGGGAGGCCCAATCGCTAAATATCCGAAGCCCTTATCCCTAAAAAACTGGCAAAGCACTCGTAACTCTTCTGGTGTTCCATAGGCGGCGATAATACGTAAGTTCGTTTGCCATCCTATCAATGGAAAATTAGGCTCAGGAACAACTTACTAGACTGTATTGCTATTTCGGAATATTTTTATAGTTTTAGTGTTTTTAGTATTTTTTTTTGTCATTATGATGATTTTGTGTTACCAACGTATTAAGTACTTATAATAACGCTTCAGTTGATTGATTATTTTATTTTAGTATTTTATATTTTAAGCATTCTGATCTAAACATCTATAGATATCGTCAGCCTTAGTGTGTGTGTAGGTACTAACTAAACTTAACTGTACTAGCTGTACGTCGTCGTCGTCACTTTACAAACACTATAGTCTGGTGCCATTGTTATTATTTTTATGGAATAGGAAGCAGACGAGCAGAAGGATCACCCAATGGTAAGCGATGGACAACCGTAGCACCAGAGGAGACAGAAGAGACGGAGAGGCGCGTTACCGATCTTTTAAGAAGGAGTACTCGTTTCTTGAAGATCGTATCGGTTCGGAAAAATATTATGATGCAAAACATGAAAACGAACAAAGTCACGTGCGTTACTAGTTCTTACAATTAACTAGATCGGCGCACGCGCACGTGACGTGCGTCTACACACGTCATACCGGCGGGGGATCAATTATTATCATTGTCCATTTCATTATCTACCATCATAATATGTACATTGTTTAATTAAATGATTAGATTTACTGTTGGTCTTTATGACCTTTCCATTCAAAAGAATATAAATCTTATCATGTCAATTTTTTTATAAATTCTTGTATTTACTATTCCAAATTTGAAATTAGATTTTTTTTGTTTATTAGAAACTTAATATTTGGTAAATATGAGGTTTGTGTAAGGTCAGTTATATTATCTAAGAATACTTGGTATTGTTTTTTTTTTAAATCGTTTTGTGTTAGTCATTTACGAAGAGAATTTCCTCTTACACAAATCACTTTACAATACTCGAGTTATGTTACGGATAAAGAATTAGTCATTAAGAAAAAAAAAATGCTCAATGTTATTAATTTTCAAGGGATAGTAAAGTAATTTTTAATCTTTGAGGAACTATGCTTCCGTGTACCAACTGATACCGTGACCTAACAGAAAAATTGCGTGAAGCAACATTGTCGCCGTGTGAGTGAGGTTACTAGAAATCCAATCCTCCCCCCCTCAAAGTCAAAGTCAAAGTCAAAATTATTTATTTCAATTAGACCCATACAGGCACTTTTGAACGTCAACACAACTTTAAAGATACAAAGTGTCAGTCTGTCGGTCAGTCCTCTTAGTGAAGCTATTCGCTCGTTCCAAAGTGTAGATTCCGATGGAGAAGAACGAGCAAGAAACTCCATGGTTACTCTTTTAAAATCAGTGTCACATAAACATTCTTTGATACATTATTTAGTTAGTTTGAATATGTGAGAACAGTGTAACGCGTGTATACAGAGAAACATAAAAAGAAAATAACCTTAAGGACAATAGACAGTCCGGAGCTGACCAGTCCCAATTGACGGCGCCCGTTCACGAGCATGACACGTACACCAGCATCGCCCAACTCAACCATAATATAGGGAATCGAGCGATCCAGTGACCGTGCCACCGCCAATGTGACCTTTGAGTGAGCATGACAACTCCAAGCTGACATATGGACCGACATTCTGCTAGTCTAACTAATTTTAATAGGTTACAGGGCACTCACATTTACAAATTTATCAAGTTTAACAATAAAAATAGCATGGTTACAAAATTACAAAATCTAAGAACTTCCGTTCAAGCAAAGATCCACTGGAACATTATTTATATTCGTGTAGGTATATTATCCTGTGGAGCAGGACCAGCCCGTCTCCAAGCATCCTTATCCTCAATATAATCACTCAGTTTGTAATATGCTTTTTTACACAAAGTTTTCTTTACACATAATTTAAAATTTCTTTCATTTAATTGTTGTATTTCGCCTGGGATTTTGTTATAACACTTAACGCTGAATCCCATGAACGACTTGTGTACCTTTGCCAATCTAAATAATGGCTGACACAATCTATCTCTATGTCTAGTTTGGTAATTATGTCTGTCTGATACCTTATCAAATAATATTAAGTGTTTCCTAACATACATTATATTTTCATAAATAAACTGACCGGGCACAGTCATAATATTGATCTCTTTAAATTTATCTCTAAGAGATTCGCGAAGCCTTTGGTTGTAAATTGCTCTGATTGCACGCTTTTGCAAGACAAATATAGACTCAATGTCAGCAGCCTGTCCCCACAACAAGATGCCATACGACATAATGCTATGAAAGTAGCTGAAGTACACCAGTCTTGCAGTGTCCACATCTGTTAGCTGTCGGATCTTCCAGACAGCAAATGCTGCAGAACTCAACCGTCCTGCCAGAGATGTGATATGGGGCCCCCATTGTAGTTTTTCATCTATGGTTATACCCAGAAAAGTAGTCTGTTTTACAAATTCCAATTTCTTGCCGTTTAATAATATGTCACATTCGTTACTTTTTACATTTGGTAAACTGAATCGTATACACTTTGTCTTTTTGTCGTTTAGAACTAAATTATTAACTGTAAACCAGTTATGAACCTTCGAAATAGCATTATTTACTTCGTCATAATTATTTGTCCGTCTATTTATTTTAAAAATCAACGATGTGTCATCGGCAAATAATACCATTCCCGGTTCTCGCTGAAATAAATGAGGTAAGTCATTTATGTAGACCAAAAATAGGAAAGGACCTAATATCGAGCCCTGTGGTACGCCCATAGATATGCTAGCACCCTGAGAATTCACTTTGTTTACCTGTACTTTAAGCTGCCTATCCTGGAGGTATGATTTTAATAAATTGAGTGAAGCCCCTCGAATACCATAGTGTTCCAACTTTAGCAACAGTGTCTCGTGTTCGACGCAATCAAAAGCCTTGGACAGGTCACAAAAAATTCCAATAGCGTCGTGCGACTCCTCCCACGAGGCAAAAACACGCTTAATTAAAGTTACACCGGCGTCAGTTGTGCATCGACCTTTGGTGAACCCATATTGTTGATCATGAAAGATGGAATTCATGTTAAAGTGACGCAGCATCTGAGAAAGCATCAGCTTTTCAAACACCTTACTAAGCACCGGTAAAATAGATACCGGCCTATAATTATTAGGATCGGTATCATCGCCAGATTTAAACAGTGGAACTACTTTGCTATGTTTCATCAAATTTGGAAAAACTCCCTGATCTACACTTCTATTATAAATTAAAGCTAAATGAGGCGCTATAGCTTCTATAAAAGCCCTACACACTGCAACAGACTTTCCCCAGAGATCCTCTGTAGACTTAACTTTAATGTCTTTAAACGCCTTTATTACTGATTGGGGGTTTGTGTACTGAAATTGGAAATCAGAACGGCATTCTTTAATATTTCTTTTGAGAAGACTAATTGAAAGTGCCGGAGATGATTCTAAGTCCTTTGTAGTTTCAATGGGGATATTCTTGAAAAAAATTTCAAATTCTTGTGCAACTTCCCGATTTACACTAACATGTCCATTTCCGGTATTTAAATTAATTTCCGTGTTATGCAATTTATGTCTGCCTGTCTCATTGTTAATTATTTTCCATGTAGCCTTTGTTTTATTTTCAGCGTTCTTAATCTTACGGCTAATGTAAAGAGATTTTGCTTGCTTACAGACCATTTTAAATATTTTTGCATATTTGGACACATGCTTGCTAAAGGCTTCGCTTGTATTAAATGGTTTCATACCATATAGTTCAAATAACTTTCCCCTACTTCTAAGAATACCGGGGGTAGCCCAGTCACAGAATACAAATTTACATTCAATGATTTTACGTTTTAAGGGGAATAATTTATCAAATTGGGTTTTAATAATGGCCAATAAGTTGGCATAAATCTCACTTGGACCTTCATAATCATGTGATGGGCTGCATAATATTTGCTTTAAATTATTATTTAATGACTCAACTTTTTTATCCGTGATATGTCTAAACATTATTTCCTTTTTTGGCACCGTTGTGATGTTGTTTAAGTTTATTGTTAACCCACTGTGATCTGATGGTAAGCTATTAACAATATTTTTGTGCAAATAATCACAGTTACAAAATATATTATCTATACATGTAGCCGAGGTGGATGTTACTCGGGTGGGCTCAAGGAATACATTAGACAAATCAAAAGATTTAAAAAGACTTACTAAATTAATACAATTAGAATTGTTTTCCAAGAGATCAATATTAAAATCGCCACATACTATTGTAAATTTACTGTTCGAACACGTTTTCTGCAACACTTGTTCCATAACAGAGTTAAAAACGTTTAAGTTTTGTAAGTTTGGAGGTCTATAGACGCATATCACAACATGCCCATCCAGCTCTACACAGGACAATTCTATTGTATGTTCAATGGAAAGTGATCATCCCTCATCCTCAATCCTCAAATCCCCTACCCATAAATCTCTCATAACCTATAAGAGATTGACAACGCACTTGTAGTAACTCCTTTGGTTGTTTTGGGCTAATTACTTGCCATCGGTAATCTGTCCGATCTTTTGTCGACGATACGCCAAAAAAAAAGGAACGATAATTAACCAATACGGTTGTTTCCAACTAGTCAAATTCAATACTTTTATCCAAATGTCAAAAACGAAACTTTTCTATGAAAATTGTATGAAACATTGAATTATGACGTCATAGCATTTTTGCGTCAAATAGCTTACTTATTTTTAAAAAAATGAGCTAAAAAATATTTAAAACTTAGTGTATCGATCGATCGATGAATAAAAGTATAGTTATTTTTCAATATTTTATCGTATTAAAACGTCGAATTAATTTATTTTTGACCTAGGAAACTACCCAATTTACAGCGAAGTCATACTTAAATGAGTCGTTCAATGACCTAATTTTAAACTCATAAGGATAAAAATGACGTAATAATTGGATGAATGAATTCGTAATACTTGACCTAATTATAGGCTATAAATATTACCATAATTATTTAATTTGTTTTATGTGACGATGATAAAGATTACCTGATGGTAAGCAACCGACAAAACTCATAACCTTTTTCAACATCAGAGGAGTTGCTAGTAAGTTGACAGCCTTTTTGGGGGAGATTTGGCATTTGGGTATGTAAGGTTACTGAAGGCCCAATCCTTACCTTCCCCCATCTATCCCCAATCAATAAATCCCCAAAATCCCTTTACCCTAAAAAACCGGCAACGTAATTTCGAATCCTCTGATTCCGATTCATAAAAAACTAGCTACTCCCGCGCGGTTTCACCCGCTGCTCAGCTCCATTTAATTGTAGCGTGATGTTTTAGGTTAAGTCGCTGACAGAAGTTATAAAAGACTAGCTACTCTCGCGCGGTTTCACCCGCTGATCATAGCGTGATGTTTTATAGCTTATAGCACTCAGGAACATTGTAGCTACTATCAGTTCAAGAATTTTGGCAATCCGATCAGCGGTTCCAAAGATAACCCCTACATACAAACTTACAAATTTTACCCCTTTATAATATTAGTATAGATATAGCGAAAACAAATGAATTAATAAATAACAATAATAATATGCTCACGCTTATCCAGCAGGATAAATGCAACATGCACCAATGTGCATTGTGATAATAACACACGTGTGCAAGGCGATTGCACTGTATAAAATAAAGATTAGCTGTGCCCTCGACTTTGCCTGCGATATCAAAGGAGGAACTATGCACTAATGGCCGTCACTATTTCCTTCTTATGTTGCTGCGAAGGAAGTTGTCATTCCGATCCTGATACGCAGCGGTAAGCAATCGATGTCGTTAATGGACTAGATAGATACAAGTGTGGGAGAGCCATGCTTCAGCACGAATGGGTCGGCTCGACCGAAGTGATACCACGGCCTCACAGAAAACCGGCGTGAAACAACCACAGCGTTGTGTTTCGCCGTGTGAGTGAGGTTACCGGAGGCCCAATCCTTTCCCTTCCCGGACCCCTCCCCAATCCCTAAATCTCCAAATCCCTAATCCCTAAAAGGTCGGCAACGCACTCGTAACTCCTCCGTTGCGGGTGTCCATGGGCGGCGTTGATTGCTTACCATCAGGTAATCCGTCTGCTCGTTTGCCGACTTATTAAATAATAAAAAAAAAGATAAATTTCAAATGCGTTCAGACGAGGTCTAACAGGGACGTTGTTCAGCCAGGGTTGTGTGGCAAGCGCAATACGTTACCGCAACTTCGGCCTAGAGCAGGAGAAGGAAGAGGGGTTTTTAGTCAGTAAGAGTTTGATACTCCCTCTCGCTTTACCTCATGGGTCAGAGGTCATCTGATGGATTTGCCCCTTACAGAAAAAAGTGCGTTGTAATACTTTTGGAGATTAAGGATTTGATTTATTTGGGGATTAGGGAAATCAGGAAATGGGGAACGAATGGTTCAGCCTTCAGTAATCTCACTCACATGGAAATGCAGCGCAAACATTGTTTCAAGATGATTTTTTATAAGGCCGTCACTTCGCGCCGGCCTATTCGTGCCTAAGCATAGCTATCTCTTACTTTTTAAAATATTTTTTTATTTTTTTATGTAATAGGTCGGCAAACGAGCAGACGGATTACCTGATGGTAAGCAATCAGCGCCGCCCATGGGCACCCGCAACGGAGGAGTTACGAGTGCGTTGCCGACCTTTTAGGGATCGGAAATGGGGAAGGGGAAGGATTGGGCCTCCGGTAACCTCACTCACACAGCGAAACACAACGCAGTGGTTATTTCACGCCGGTTTTCTGTGAGGCCGTGGTATCACTCCGGTCGAGCCGACCCATTCGTGCCGAAGCATGGCTCTCTCACACTTCAAAATATGTTTAGTTTTATATAGATATCGTTTTTGGATAGATGTAGTGGACATGTAGTATATTCGCTATGTAGTTACGCACTATCCTATAAGTACATTACAGAATGGTTCGTATAATCGCGATAAGCGTAGCGTGTGTCACTATGTGTATATAATAGTGTCGTAGTGATTCGACTATCAATTACCATACGATGTCTCGGATTTTAATTCCATTCTTTTTTTGAATACGGTTTCGATTACTGCTTGGAACAAAGATCAAGATTTTCAAATTTTGGTTTCGTGATTTTTAGTTTTAAATTTTGGTGTAATTTGCGATGAATATGACCATTTATTTTTGTAAACATTTCGATTTTTTAAATTTGATTGTATTACTTACAGGTAGAAAATAATTAAAACTACTTACTTTGTTTTTAAAGGAATACTTGCAAAAAAAACCATAAAACATTTTTTGTTACAATCAATGTGAGAATTTTTGTTCTTTTTTTTACTCTAATAAAAAATACTTAGTTGATGACCTCAACTGTTTTGTTATTTGGTTTATAATGATGACTGCTAAATATTTTTAAAACCCTGCTAAAGTGTTATTATTAAAGAAAATAGAATTATACATTCTTTACATGCTCATCTAATTATGGTAAATGCTAATGGCATGTAATATGGCCTGAATCAATCTTATAATAAAATGGCACCGAAAAAACAATCAAATCGTACTAACCTCCCTTTAATGGCGAAAATAGGAACTCAAATTATTAAATCCTCTAAATAGTTTTAAACTTTTATCGATCATAAACGACATAATTTAAAAATTCCTAAATTAATATACCCAAAATAAAAAATAAATAAACTTACCAAATTTAAAAATGAAACCGTGACACATAAAAACAAAATCAATTATTCAATTTTGGAACACAGATCCTAGATAGTAATTTTTTTAGCACACGTTTTTGTGGGACGTCCTTACACAACGACGGAATGTTTTGTAAATAATATATAATTCACCCCGCACAGTTTATATACATAGTTTCTCGGTAAGGTGATTCCCCAGCGCGTTGAGACTCAGCGCTACATATTTTACCTGTGGTTCCGTTACCCAAAAAGTTTTTATCACATACACGTATTGTAAGTTTACGCCTTTGTAATGTACTAATGAAGGCACGTTTTTTGCATAAATTATGTGCCTATTTTTATTTTTTATGTGGCAGATCGGCACTCTATGTAACGGATGGCCTGATGGTAAGCAAACAGCGCCGCCCATGGACAACCGCAACAACGGAGGAGTTACGAGTGCGTTATCGACCTTTTGGGGATTAGGGTTTTTGGGAAAGGATTGGGCCTACGGTAACCTCATTCCCGCGGCGAAACACAACGCTGTGGTTGTTTCACGTCCGTTTCTGTGAGTCCGTGGTATCAATCCGGTCGAGCTGACCCATTCGTGCCGAAGCAAGGATCTCCACCCTTCGCTTATTTATCCGTAAATATTTTTCTACAATTGCTCGGCCGTTGTAAGAAAAAGCGTGTCATTTAAATAAGCCACGACGCTTACCCATTGTTCGGTTATAAATACGCATAGAACATAAGCGCCTCATATTGTTTTCTAGAAGTAACTATAGTATAATAGAGAGTCGTGGACCACGTGGATCCAGTTATAGATATATCTCTATTTAAAACTTAGTTTGAATGGGGCGAAGTATTGTTTTGAGGTATAGCGAATTACATTTTACATTTCAGATATCGGAACTAATCATCATTCATCATTTTAATTGTGACAACAATTTTTATTTCACTTTTATTACTAACTTCCAAAAGGAGCAGCAACATGTTTCTCAATTCGTATATTATGTTTCTATTTTCAATTTTTATTATATTAGTTTTATATTTAATGTCTTTACCAATCACGGGACCATAGGGTCCCGGTCATTTGGGAGGCGAACGAGGGACCGGAGCCAACTGCGCAGAGGCCCTTTAGAAAACTTTAATCTAAATGAAATGGGACACAAACCGGTGACCATCCCTGTATGCACTATGGAAATACACCCAAGGACAGTCCCCGGTTAGTGTGGGACTATTGCGGATAATGGAAACAAGTGATAAAGGCGTGTGTGGGTTGTTATGGACTGTTATGTTGGGAACTATGGAAGGACTGTGGCACTTTATACACGTAATATGTATATGGCAGGTGGAGACTCGCCAAATCACCGACCGGGCCCCTGGGAATGGTTGCTAGTAAAAGCAATAAGGGACAACGGAAATGTGAGTGGCTGAAGGGGAAGAAACTGCCACCAGCTTTCTACTCAGATCATCTGCATCTGCCTAAGCATCCTGCATCACTGGCTCACTCGCCGAACAGCTTCCACCATCCGAGTAGGTTCACTACTCTTGCGACTCCACTCTGGGCGGCCAATGAAGTCAAGCCAGAGGTGGGAGACCTGTTCCTCGTCATCGTTCACTCAAGCAGTACTCGTATATTCAAACAGCTAACAAAAACTGTGGTACTTTTATCTTGGCAATTTACCTAAAATGATGTAACTTTTACCATATAAAATTAGAATGTGAGAGTGACGTGAGACATAAGAGTAAATATATAAAAAAAACACTTAATAATAACGTGAATAAACTTGAAAACCTCAACTAGTTTGGAGTTAAGGTACTCTTATTCAGGAGTCGGTTGTGTCATCATCGCGACGCGCTCGCTGCTCATAAATTAAGATTTTCTCAGTTTATTCACGCGAGTCCATTTTCTTCATATTTTTTTTTTCTTATAATATTATATCTGTTCTCTCTTTCCTATTCACAAAAAAGTGAGCTAAATTTCATAGCCTCCCTTTGTCGTGGTACACTACATACTTAATACATTAAATAAAAACTTTTTACGGCATATTATACTACATCCTCATAGAAAACCGGCGTGAAACAACCACAGCATGGTTTTTCGCCGTGTGAGTGAGGTTACCGGAGGGTCAATCTTTCCGCTTCCGCATCCCTTCCCCAATGTCTAAATCTCCAAAATTCTAATCCCAAAAGGCCCATTTCCATTGTTTGGGGGCTGTCCTGTAGTGAAGAGGCTGCGGCACAAAATTAGGGATTTGGGGGTTTCCTATTACGGAACTTGGTTTATTGAACAATGAAAATTATTTATTGTATTTAAACAAATCTTAAAAACATTATATTATTGATTTTAAATCGAGTGAGTAAAATTCTAAATACAGTAATCTACGGCCAGATGCGAGTGTCCGAGTCGACTAGTGTACGGACGGTTCCGTACTAATGTCACGAATTTTGTATTAATTTCATTTGACTTTTGGTACTACCTAGATGATACATGATAAAAATCATGAAATACAGGTTGGTGATAGATACACAGACAGACGGATAGTGGAGTCTTAGTAATACTGTTTCCGATTTTGCGCTTTGTTTTATTTAGCTCTTAATTATTTTTTTATACCTGGGTGTCGAGTGCAAGTGCAACAATGCAACGCGGCCAGGCTCCGAGCTGGAGGTGGAACGGGATGGTCTGTTACTAAGAGTCTGGGTGGATAAAGAGTAAAAAAAAACTGAACAAAAGAGCCGACCTAAGTTCAGTCGGGGCGGCTTAACTCTGTGGTCTAAAGGTTCTTTGAGGCGAAACACGAGGCTGAAACACTACGCACCGTACGCTTGACACGCCCACTTAAGGTGAGGGAACTCATTTGATGATTTCGCCCCTCAAAAGAGGTATATTGCTTTCTATATAGAACCCATTTTTTTACCGACTAATATACCCTATTATGGTAACAAACATCTTTTTCTATTTAAAAATCCTGTATGATGTATGACCTTGTAGGTATACATGTATACACTTATGTTACCAATCAAACCATAGAGCATGAGAATACAATTGCACTTTACGTGTATTTTTGCCAATTGTTTCCTTAGTAAACCTTAATTCATGTTTGTTGTACTGCACGACCCAAGTAGCACAAGTATATCTAGTGAAGCACTATTAGATATTTTATAGAATTAAACTTAGAATTCTTGCATAAGAGTAAATAATCCCTGAAGATATCCTGAAGATATCCTATATACCGAGTTCAGTAAAAATGGGCAACTATCTATACTATAATAACAAGAGCAGCATAAGAATTCATCATTAGATAACGATAAGAGCAATTCATTTTTATCTATAGGGAATATCTACAAAACTACCTTAAGAACACAATAAGAGACACATAAGAAAGGAATCAAGTTTTGTAGCCAGCATTAAGATAACACCATGACCCTACTGATGTTCTAGTGGTAAATTTTTTTAAAACCACTAAAAATCAAAATCTACTAAATAAAAATATCAACAAGAGTTACTTCTTTTAAAAAGCATTTCCTATTTTCTAATGGCACTCCGTACTTAAAAATATTTTAAGCTGTAGCTTTAATGGCGAAATGAAATTTAATATATATTTTTTCTTGATCTTCTAAATTTTGTTTCGCGCGAACGGAGGGTGTAAATTCAGTGCCAAATTAATTTTATCGTAAAAGTCGATGAAAGAGTTTCAAAAAACTTACGGGCCTAGTATATTCGTATAATTTAACTGATAATTTTATAATAAACAATATTATTGGTGTTCATTTTTTTTATATTTTGTTAAAATAAATACGCAAACAATATATTTTAATTAAAATTTAATTTATTTAAGTATTTTTATGTTTAGAAATGAAGAAATACCATATTTTATTGTTAACAAAATTTCTAATTTTTACCAAAGTGGCGATTACCGTCGTGTTCTATTAATAAAAATGGCGTCTAGATTAAATTATCTATAAATAAGTTTTGATTAGATGATTTACTCCTAAAAGGTCATTTTAAGAGCATGACAAGTCAACTTGCACTTTCATCAGAAGAATTAATCTTTTAATAGTAGAATTGTTCTTATAACGATCCTATGGTAATCTATAAAATGGAATATTTATAAACTATTTTTTCTCGTAATTATCTACCAGAGTTTATCAGACTGGCATAAGAAGAAGGTGTTTTTGCGTTTATGTTATTTTTCGGTGCTACAAATACCACAAAGAGCCAGTATTTATATGTTTAAATAGATTTATTGTGTTCCATACAAATAATAATGTTGATTTATATTAACTACACAGTGCAGCTTGACAATAATATCATTATTAGTAAGAAACCAACAATTGATACCATCATTGCTTACTGAATATTTCTCAAGTTCAATAGTTTTGTAAAAGTGTATTTCTGATTTATTGCTTTCTAATCAAACTTATCAAATCTTTTAATCTTTGTCTTTATGTTTGTTAGTTTATGTGAAGGACCTCTTCAATTTCCGTAAGTTGAAATATTAGTCTTTTCGATTAATCTTTTCGCAGCCTGCTGTAGAGGTTTATGGCCACTCCTCAGTAGTCGCTTATGATGCAAAGTATTCTCAAAAGGCTAGGCATCGAATGAAGATAATATCCCGAATCTCCTTACCTCCTCTACTACGTGGCATAGGTTATGGACATTACTGGTCATATGGCCTTCTCTATAAATCTCTATGTAGTATTCAATATATGTATTAAATAACGATTCAGCAATGCTAAGTAGAGTAGGTGAGCATAGGCTTCAGTGGAGCATATGGTAACTGCGCAAAATAGTTGTTAAAAATGTTGATAAGCATCAGGATGTAAATATTTTTCTAAAACAACAATACCTAGATACAATAAAAATGTTCAAATCAAATCAAATTCATTTATTCCAACTAAACCATAAATAGGTACTTTTGAAAACGTCAAAATAGAATAGTAGTCTGTCAGTCTGTTCGTCAGTGAAGCTAGGTGCTCGTTCCAAATTGTAGTTTCGAATGGAGAAGAACGAGCAAGAAACTCCATCGTTACTCTTTTTAAAAAAATATTTGTTTTACAATTCACCAATAATACATTTTTAATACATTACTGTACCCCTATGTGAGAACAATGCAGAGACAAGTTGTTAATAAAAAAAAAGGAAC